ATGAAAAGTTGTTTCTAAAAAAAAAAAGAAGAAAAGAAAGGAAAAAAAAAAAATCAAATTTAGGGATCAATGTTTTCCCCAAAAGAAAAAAAAGCTTACGAAAGACCCTAATAGATAATAATGCTCCCTAGTTGTCTGAAGTTTACTGTAGGTCGTTCACGAGATGTCTAGACTAAATTCAATAATAATGCTTACTAATAATTCTATTTGAAGTTTTTCAGGTATACTGTTGGTAAGATTACTCCAGTTCCCATGCGTGAAGTTCGATCTTCTGATTTCGGAAAACGGGCTAGAATAGTTATGTACTTTCCTCGAAAGGGCTCTCAGTTTACACCTCCACACTATTCTGTCGACTTCCATTGGAAAGACTATTGTCCTATGGTATTCAGGTAGTTAATGATCTACTGCACATCGTTCTTTCATTTTTCTGAATGAAAGCTTGACTTTTCATGAAAATGAAAATCTATTGCACATCATTCACATTTATTTATTTACAAGAGTGCTGCAAAAAATCATGCATTTAAAAATCTGGTGGTAGTTCTGATTGTTAAGGGTGCGTTTGGTTTGTGACTTGAAAATAAAAATTTGAAAATAAGGGATTCAATGAAAAATAGAGTTGTATTCCACGCTTTCAGTATTTTCGAATATGTGTTGGGTAGCAGATTTGGAAATTGAATTTAAATTTAAAATATTATTCAAGGTGTTTTTAGTAATATATTTTTTTTTAACAAAATACGAACTTTTCATTGAAATGATGAAAAAGAACATTGTTCAAAGATACGAACTTGCAAAGGAGTGAGAAATAAAGCAATAAAGACTTAGAGTAAAGAAAAAACAAAGTCACTTAAACAAATTCAGTTACAACGGAGAAATAAAAGCCTCCCAATTCCAACAATCAAACTAGGTGAATAAAGATCAAAAGAGTTGGAAAGAGCACGCCAATGTAAGAAGACCTATTTACATGTATGAATATGAAAGAATATTTTTATTCTCTCAAATCTGGACTGTTAATCACCAAACGCCAAAGAGAAGAGGGCTCTTGACAAAACTTCCAACCCCCTTTCACAAGAAGCACTCTGTTCTTTGAGCGAAGACCTTCCAAATCCAAACCACCATCTTCAATATGAGCTGCAGATCATTTCCAGCCAGCTAGATGCTTCAATTTCCCATCAACGATTCCTTCCCAAAAGAAAGTTCTCATATATTTCTCAATTTGATTGTGCACAACCAACGGAATTTGAAACAAAGACATAATATGTTGGGAGATTGGCCAAAACTGCAGAACATAGAGTGAACCTTCCTCTTGAGATCTGAAATCACCTCCATCTTTGCAGTTTCTTTGAGATCTTTTCTAAAATCCACTGACAAAAATATGATTAATTAATTTATTAACATACATGTTATAAATTTTGTATAATAATTATTTTACAATATTATATAATTTGTATAATTAAGAGATGTCTTAGCTGTCCACACTGAAAACAGTTGCCCAAATTAGGTCTGTTGTAAGGGTTAGCTAAGTTTTCAAGGTGGAACTTTCAGTACCTTTAGCCCCTAGTACTAGTTTTGGTAGTAGTCTCCTCTTCTAATTCTTTGATCATTTGACGTTGAAAGGTCTCCCATAGGTGGTAAATTTGTCTAAATCCTTTTATCCTTATCTAAACCTTTTGTTTACTGTCATTAATTTGTTGTACATCTTTCCTTTCACAAGTTTCTTATATATTACTATATTATCTTACTCATTTTCACTCTTTAAAGTACTTGTGTGTTTTTCTTCGTCCAAGTAATGATCATAACGTAGAACCTTTTTTTGGTTACTATTATTTTGCATAATATTAGGAATTTGAGAGAGATGTTCAAACTAGATGCAGCAGAGTATATGATGTCCATATGTGGCGATGATGGTCTAAGGGAACTGTCTTCTCCAGGGAAAAGTGGAAGTATCTTTTATCTTTCTCATGATGATAGATTTGTGATCAAGACTCTGAAGAAATCTGAGTTGAAGGTTGGAAGTCATTAAACTAAACATCCCTGGGTTGAATTTATTAGTTAGTGGATTTCACCTTCTCTATGATATTTCGAGCATTTTTTGAAAAAAATTAATTATGATGGTTTGGTCTTAGGAAAAATTCCACTAAGGTTGCTACATAATTGCTTCTTTAAAATATAGTTTTTATGCATTGCAGACACATCCTGAAAATGCAGTTCTGCTGTGCTTGCACTAATGTTATGTCTTAAAAGATGAAATTTCTTCATAAATATATTAAATATTTCAAACCCGAATGGGACAGCTCTTAATGGGAGACCTAAAGAAGTTCTCAATGTTAGTTGCAACAATCGGTGTTGATTCTACTTAAAACTCGAATTAGGAACAAGTTTGTTTCTTAAGCTTATATCTTCTACTAACTATAAATCACCCCGTGACCACTGAGAACTTTTTTCTTGTCAATGATGGTTCAGAAATACAAGTTTACGTTATAGAAGGCTATAGGAATCTGAATGGAGATGTTCAAAGTAGGGGTATGAACAAGTCTAAGAACTGATGAGAACGATAGAAAACATACAAGTTGTCTTATCAGGAACTGCACATTGAGCAATGATGTCTTCTTCTTGGCAAGATCAGATCATGTCAAAACCTCACTTACAGTCTCATTGTATTTCCTCTATGCAGGTTTTGCTCAAAATGCTTCCTAAATATTATGGGCATGTAAAGGAACATGAAAATACTCTCATAACAAAATTTTTTGGTCTCCATCGCATAACAATTAATGGTCGGAACAAGGTACCTACTCTCTGCTATATGCCTATATGCCTATATCATCTTTCCTGCTGAACATGTTGGTTTTCACTTATAATCACATCATCTTTCATCTTTATCAGGTACGCTTTGTGGTCATGGGAAACATGTTTTGCACAGAATTAAGAATTCATCGTCGTTATGATCTGAAGGGCTCTACTCTTGGGAGATATACTAATGGAGATAAATTGAAAGATGGTATAACAATGAAGGATCTCGATTTGTCGTATGAATTCCATATGGACAAATTATTGCGACAATCCCTTTTCAAGTAAGTTCCTTCTCTTAGAAGCAAATCTTTATAGGTGGCTCTTGGGTTAAGTTCTCAGGAATATTTTGTCCTTATGAAGTTGTAAGTAAATTATGTATTTAACCGAACAAAAGTGGAGATTAAATAAGCTCTAATTTTTTTAAAAGATTATGATTGTAGTTGGAAAATTTAAACTGTATAAATTCCAAAACGAATTACATAGACTAAAATTTTGAAAATCATCACCTAGAACGCTGGAAGTTCATTTTAAATTTATGTTGCATTTCCATGGATTGTTTAAATTTTCATTTTAAATTTGTTTTAAAATTTCAACTTAGTTCGGAATGCTTTTCAGGTTTTAATTTTATCCCTTTTCTTTGAGTTGTTTGGGGTATATCTTGGGCTCGTTATACGGATTACCAGACCCTGATGGAGGGGGATCTTGATCGAGAGAAATAGTAGAATGTTTAGAGGGTGGAGAGATCTAGGGGAGTATGTTTGGGAGCTTATTAGATTAATACTCCATGTGACGATTGATTTCTAAGTTGTTTGGTAACTATTAGTTAGGTATTATCCTTTTGGATTGGAGCCCCTTTATTTATGCGAGCCTCCTATCGTAGGATGCTTTTTTTGTATGCCCTAGTACATGCTTCTTTTTTTTGTTTTTCTTTTTAATGAAAAGCTTGGTTTCTCATAAAAAAAAGTATCCCTTTTATACCAACACTTTTTTTACTACATCCGAAACTTTTGAAACATTAAAGATACAATTATACAATGAGGAAATTATATATTTAGTTTGTATTTTTTCTCTGCAGATGGACATATAATGTTCACAGAGAATGAGCTGAGTATCTTATTCTAATGTTATTTATGATTTATGTTATGAGTTATCAAACCATTATTTAATTCTTGTTTACTCTTTTTTATGCCAGACAAATTTCTCTGGACTGCTTGTTCTTGGAGTCTCTGAATATAATAGACTATAGCCTACTGCTAGGAGTGCATTTTCGAGCTCCTGAGAAACTGAAGGCTTTGTTGGAACCTCCTGTTACAGTTCAAAATCATGAAATTTTACTCAATGGTGGTAAGTTTCTTCTACCTAGACAATAATAGCTTATGATCTTGTTCAGTTCCACTTGTTTATTCATCGTTGTTGTTAATGAACACTAGTAATTTGGATATTTTGGCCATTGTGGAACTTGGTAAAAATAATAAGTTTCCCAAACTCTTTTTTCATTCTTCTTATGTCATCCTGCGAAACACAATATTGCTAGTTTTGTGTAATCCACTGAGATATAATTGACTCGGTGTACCCTACTTAAACTTTCTTTCTTTTTCTTCCTGTTAATGTCTCGAGATGGAGGATGGATTAAAATAATCTTTTTCTGAATTTAAGTATGATAGTTCTGTCACTGAAATCATTTTGCTTGACTAACAAAATGTTCGAGAAACAATTAGATTATAAATTATTTACTTGTAAAAGTTTTGGAGTAAGTTTGCAAGCACGGTGAAAAAAGTCACTACTTAATTATTTACTGTAAAAGTATTTTGAAGTACTTTTAAGTGTTCTTAGAATTATTTAAATAAAATTTTGACTATATTCTCAAATGTTAAGGACAATGGTATTTCTAGTACTCCTAGTATCTTCACTATAGTATGATATTGTTAGCTTTGGACAAACTCTCATGGCTTTACTTTTGGTTTCACCCAAAAGACCTCTTACCAATAGAGATAATTGTCCTCATCTATATACCCATGATATTCCCCTTATTTAACCAATGTGAGACTTTGGTCGCATTCCCAACACGAACACCATGAAAAACTTTAGAAAGGCTTTTAGTTAACTCTTCAAAAAGTCATGCCAAACTTCACCCTTATCCCCTTTATTTCTTCACAATTCCTCTTACCAATATATAAATATTTGTTGATAGTAAAACAGAATTTTCATAGAACCAAAATAATAGACAATCCAAGAAAGTGAATAGTTTCAAGATCCATTGGTAAAGAACAAAAGGATGTTGGGAATGAAATAGATCCAACTACTGTATCTGTATCTCTCTAGATCTTCCATTAATCTTCATTTCTCTCAATCAATCCAGAGAAAAGAAGAGCCTTAGGGGCATTAACCCAAAGAATTTTCAGTGTTCTTCCTAAGTGGTGACTACAGAGAAGGAACTTTAGCTTTCTTCTTAGAGGGATGGCCACAAAAATAAACTGCGAGAACTCAACATTCCTTGGACTGCACCTCAGAAGACAAAACTTATGAACCAGTTTCACAGGCAAAAATAAGTAATAGTGTATGAAGAACTGGTTCATGTGTGGAGAAAGGCAAAGAGTTGGTGCTTTCCTAAATTCTATGCAAAGTATTAACCCTCTCAAGTGCAATTGTCCGTAGGAAAAACTTCACTTTTTGGGATATTTTGCTTTCCACATTGCAAGAGGAATATCCTTGGGGAGCGGTAAGTTACTATTAGAGACTTGGAGGAACTAGTATTATGGGAACCAGATATTTTTTTTTTTTAACAAGAAATGGACTTTTCATTGATCGATGAAAAGGAACATAAAATGTTTAAAGATTGTACTCCCAAGGGATTGAAAAAACATAAAATAAAAAGATACAATCCAGAATAGCAAATATAAAAAGATAGAGTATATCCTGTGTATGTCTAACTAGGGAAAATGAAAGCCCCCCAATTAACATATATCATGTTTGGAGAATAATTAGCAAAAAGATTGGATAGAGCACACCATTGAGACGCTTTAAACTTAGCCAAGTTGAAGCACTCCACCGAAGGTCTTCTTTTTTCCTAAAAAATCCTTTGGTTTCTCTCAAACCAAATCTCCAAGATGATAGCTTTGACACCATTTACCCAAAGAAGGCTCGCTTTAGGAGGTAAAAAAGGACCGAACATCAGCTGGGTAACAATCTTTGAAACATCCGCATCCATTACTCAAGAGATATCGAACATATGGAGCAAGGAGAGCCAACAATCTGCTGCATATGGACAAGAAAAGGTGTGCACCTGAAACTCATAATCTGCCATGCACAGCACACAAATGGATGGTTGCAAATGCATATGTGGTGATTTTTTTTGAAGAACTTCTGCTGTGTTGACTTTTCCATTAATAAGAATCCAAGAAAGGATATTAACCCTTTTTGGGCAACCCTTCCGCCATAGCCTGTAGCATTGATCATTGGTCATCAAGAAAGAAGCCTTTCTAGGGGTTGCATAAAGAAGCAACCGAAAAAGACCCTGAAGGTTCCAAACTCCACGTCAACTGATCTTCCTCCTCTTGCAAGATAATTGAATTTAAACTTGATAAGAGTATTAAATAATCATCAAATTCTTCATCTTTAAGATTTCTTCTTGTTTCAATTCTCCAAGAAGAAGAGCATCTCATACACAATCTTCTCTCCTTTTTCCTTATGAATCTTGTCATTTTGAGTATTCCACTGTTTAAGCACAGCTTTCAGATTCCTTAGCTTTGTTGATATCACAAAACCGGCCCATCCATAAGAACGATCCTCCGAAAGCTTGGATTCAATTATGCGAACGCACTCTTTATTCTCTAGCCAAGAGTTGAAAAAGCGAAACGATGAAGGGCCCCAAATGCAGTCCCCTGCATCAAGGATAATAGGAAAATGGTCTGATGTTATTCTTTCCACTCTACTTACCTGTGAGTTATTAAACAAGTTATCTCATTCTTTGGATAGGAAAAATGTGTCCAAAAGTGAATGTATAGAGTCGTTTCCCATTCTTGACCATGTGAATTTGCCATTAGATAAGGAGAAAATTAATACTGATATTGGTAAGAAAATCACAAAACTCCAAACATTTCAAGAAGCCTCGTACTCTTGAAACTATTCCCAAATTTTGTGTACCTCAACCGAACTTTCTCTTATGTATAACATAAAACTAATTTTCTTGATAATAAAATCCGTTCATTCATGAAGTAACGAACAGGACATCTGTAAAAAAAATAAAATACTGATGACACTACAGGAATTCTGATGAGTACCACTTGATTTAGAGGCATATAGCACTGTGAGGTTCTTGACTTCCACTACAATATGTTAGGGGATTTCTGTCCTTTTTCCTTGAATTACCCTTCCATTAAGTTAGAATGTTCCTAAAATAAAATTGTGAATATCTGCTTTATGCAGATTTTGGTGGACTATATAAGTTTCCAATCCATTCTTTAAGCTAGTTCATTTTCAACATGGCTATCTGGATTGATTCATCATGTTGCCTCTACTTCCAAAGTTCAAATCATGTGATACGATCTGAAAAAACTTATGATATCATTATTCTTAAACTTCTCGTTCGTGGTAGTATCCGGCCGTGTCTTTTACAACATGGTTTAATTATTCGATAGGTTTTTGCTCATGAGCTCCTTCCAGCAGGTGAATCATCAGAAAGCGAGCCAAAAATTCCTCCGAAAGGCCTAGTACTTGTAACACATGAACCTAGCTCTGTAACCACTACCCCAGGTCCTCACATCAGAGGAAGACCATTGANTGGGGAAACTCTCCAAGAAAGCACTCTGCTATTCTTACTTGCTAAGGAATTCTCTACCTCCCTCAAGGGAACATTCTCCCTTTTAACAAACTACTTCCCAAGCCTAAGTGGGCCCTACTCTTCTAACTAACTGGAAGTACAATTCCCCTTCTACCCCTCCTAACATATGTCTTCACTACCGAGGGTCTAACAATTTCCCTCTGATTTAGCAGTGAAATATTTTGGGAGTTCTTTATCTCAGTAATCTACTAATCTGTGCTTTTCTTTTCCGAGCAGCCAAAAATTTATGAAAAAATTTACTGTTTTCATCCCCATTCTTCAGCCATTGTATCTTACACTTCTGGATCAGATTTTGGAACAGACCATAGTTGTAATTCATTTTCATGATGATTGGTTGACCATTGCGGAAGCTTTGAGTAAGATAATCCATGAAATTTGCATGACCAATCCTTGATGAAGACTCAGATTGAGATAGGATTTAGAAATATTTCATTAGCCTTATCCTAAGGTGGTGGCACGTTGGTGAGACGTTGGAGTGTCATCACTCATGTCGCAAGTTCAAGTCTTAATGTTCCCTAAAATTAAAATATTTCATTAGCCTTCAAGGATATTACAAGAACCTATTTAAAGGCCTTTTTGCCCCTAACAGCAGTAAAGCTATTTACAGTGCAGTGACTCTGTTTATAACTAACAGAGAGCTAATAGAGTTTTTAAAAATAAACAAAAGTGCTGTTAACCAACAACAACCAAACTAAGGCAGTTAGCTACATCAAACTAACTCACTCACTACATCAATCCTTTCCTTTTGTAGTGGATATAATCTTGCTTAAGGGGGTTGTTAAGGAGGACAGAGGACTTTGTAAGAAGGTAGGAATATAGTGGGGGGTTTGGTTTTTAAGATGGAATACTAAAAAGCTGTGCAGATCCAAGGAGATTCCATCTTACGGGGTTGGATAAAGGTTTTGGGATTGACTTTGATGCTTTGGAGGGAGGAGGTTATGTGAGCATTTAGTGAAAATTGTGGGGGTTTCTTTCAATGTGCAATTAGGACCTTGAATATGCTTGATTGTTTGGAGGATTGCATACAAATCAAAGAAATTTGTGTGGCTTTAAATTGTTGAAGTGGAAACTGTTCATCCAAGAGTAAAGGTACTTTTGTGGTTCAAATAGTTGTACGTCATTCTTCAAGATTATTTGCTGGATGTTTGAGTAGTGTTCATGTAGGGTTTTCAAATGAAGCAGCTGAAAAATTCAAAACAAATCCTCTTCCCATGGATGTGAAATCTCTTGGTAGAAATGGGTGGATGTCAAATTTTGAAGGGAGAAGAGCAATGTTTTAAAAAGCTTTTGAGGCTTACGCCTTGAGGCTTACGCCTTGAGGCAAGGCTCTAACTTTTAGCCTTGAGACTTACGCCTTCTTTGAACGATAAGAGGCTTACACCTCTCATAGAAGAGGCTTACACCTCTCATAGAAGAGGCTTACGCCTCTTTGAAGACACATTGAGGCTTAAAGTCTTTACGCCTCGTGTAATGATTAGAACAATTTTAGTAATTTGCCCAATTCTTACAAAATACAAAGGTTTTTTTGCATATGGAATGCACTATAGGTGTGGCGACGATTCAATCTATCACTACTTTTACTAACTGGACTTTAAAAACATTGGAGACAAATTTTATGGAATAAGTCAATCCTATTAGTGATAATAGTACTAGTGATAATAGTACTAGTGATAATAGTAGCGATATTTTTTTTTTTTTGAACAGGAAACAAACTTTTCATTGATAAATGAAAAGGAACATAAAATGTTCAGGGATACAAACTCCAAAGGAGTGAGAAAGATAAAAACATAAAGTTGAAACAAAATAAATAAAATTACAAAGGAGAGCTAAAAGCATCCCAATTAGAATCAATCATGCTAGGTGAGTAATTGACAAAAAGATTAGAAAGAGCACACCATTGAAAAGTTTTGAATTTGGCAATGTGAAAACATTCCAACGGATGCCTTTTTAACCCTTCGAAGGTCCTTTGATTGCGCTCGAACCATAATTCATAAATAAGGGCTTTAAGACCGTTGACCCAAAGTAATGTAGCTYTAGGATTCATGTGTAGACYAAACAGCAACTGAAAAACCAAGTTCGAGACTGACTTGTCCATAACCCAAGGTAGATTGAAGATACCAAAAAAGGCAGACCAACAGGTTGCTGCAAATGGGCAGAAAAAGAAAGTGTGCAGCTGATTTTCGCTTGAGTTTACACAAAAAACACAAGCAGATGGCTGGAGAAACATATATGGTATCCTTTTCTGCATAATTTCAGCTGTATTGACCTTGCCAAACATAAGAATCCATGTAAGGACATTAACCTTCTTGGGGCTACCAGAATTCCAGAGCTTTGAGCAAAAATCTTGTGGTAATGCAGCAAAGGGAGCCTTAGAGTTACATAAGGAGCTGACAGAAAATGTCCCATTTTTATTCAGATTCCAAGAAAGTTTGTCTTCATCATCATTTAACAAAACCGAATTYAGATTGTCCAATAATTCAATATATTCAGCAAATTCTCCATCTTTTAGYGACCTTCTAACTTCAATCCTCCAAGAGGAGRTGGTTGAATCCCAAGCTTCATGAACCGAAAGGTAGGAGTTCGAGGAAACCTGAAACATAAGTGGAAACTTGTCCTTTAAACAAGACYCGCCCAACCACAAGTGATGCCAAAACAAWGTACGTTTGCCATTTTTTACTGATAATGAAGAGAATTTCTGTACCTTTTTCCACTGTTTTTGAATGTTGTTCCAAGGGCTACGACACCCCAAATTCTTCTTTTCCAGAGTGTTCCAATCAAAACAATCTGTTTCATAAATGCTGGCCACAACCTGACGCCATAGTGCAGAAGTTTCCAAACTAAACCTCCAACCCCATTTCGCAAGAAGAGCATGGTTCTTATTCAATAACATACCAATGCCCAAGCCACCATTTGCACAAGGGCGAGAAGCTAAATCCCATCGAGCCAAATGCTTTAAAAACCCATTTGAACCATATCCCCAAAAAAATTTTCTGATATACTTTTCAAATTGCTTGCTGATATGTCCAGGCATTTGAAAAAGCGATAAGTAATACAAATGGATGCTACCCAACACCGCTTGGCACAAAGTCAGTCTACCTCCTCTAGATAATTGATATCGCTTCCATCTATCGAGTTTCTTTAGGATCTTGTCCTTAATAGGGAACCAAAAGGCTTCAAGCTTTGGATTTCCACCTAAAGGAAGCCCCAAGTACATAATGGGCAGATGTTCAATTTTACAATTCCACTTTGCAGCAAACAACGCTACTTTTTGGGTATCAATATTAATTCCACATAATGATGATTTATCCCAATTTACTTTTAGGCCAGACAACCATTCAAATGCCTTAATAGTATCGAAAAGAATCTCCAACATATCATCATCATCCTTACAAAACAACAAAGTATCATCTGCAAACTGKAGATGAGAAACATGAACATGATTTCTGCCRACAATAAWACCTTCAAAAATACCCTTTTCATGTAGGCGATCCAACAAACTACTAAGCACATCACTGATTAAGAGAAAAAGGAAAGGAGAGAGAGGGTCTCCTTGCCTTAAACCTCTAGAAGCTGAGATTCTTCCTCTCGGTCTACCATTGATGAATACTGAAAATTTTGTCCCTCTRATGCAACCATTAATCCAGCTAATCCATTTCTCTCCAAACCCTTTCTTTTGAAGGACAGCATCAAGAAAATCCCAATCCACTCTATCAAAGGCTTTTTCTAAGTCAAGTTTTAACATCCAACTACTCTTCTTCTTGACTTTATAGAAATTTACAAGTTCATTTGCAATTAACATCGGATCAAGGATCTGTCTTCCTTCAATAAAAGCACTCTGGTTCATAGAAATTGTGCTAGGGATCACCTTCTTGAGGCGCTCGGTGAGAACTTTGGCTATAATTTTATAAGTGGAGGTTGAAAGACTTATTGGTCTAAAGTCCTTTACCTTTTCCACTRAATCTTTCTTAGGAATAAGGCAAATGAAATTATCTTTAACACAAKCATTCAATTGGCCATTTCGAAAGAACTCAGCAAAAAGTCGCATAAAATCTCCTTTCCAATGCTGCCAAAATYTGATGAAGAATTCAATGGTAAATCCGTCTGGCCCTRGCGCCTTATTTCTTCCYAAATWTTTTAGAGCAGACCAAACCTCARCTTCCTCAAAATTCCTTTGTAACCAGCTACTGTCTTGACAAGAGATAGGCCTCCAAGAGATGTCTCTTGGAGTAAAATGTGAAATTCCTTCACTACAGTACAAGGCATCGAAAAAGCTGGAGATTTCCTTCTCAATTTCTCTTTGGTTAACAAGAGATRCACCATTTCCATCCTTAATCTCAGAAATCCGGGCCTTCCTTTTGYGGGCAGCTAAGAAYCTATGAAAAAAATTACTRTTTTCATCCCYTGCCTTMAGCCAATGTACCTTACTTTTTTGTATCAAGTTCTGCTCCTCCCTTACATACAAATTAAGTAAGWMTGTCTTCAAAGAACCTCTTCGTKCGATTTCATCCRAGGAGAGAYCAAAATTCTCATCCTTAATATCCAATAAGGATATTTCAGCTACTATTTTATCCTCCRCTTCCTTTYGCTGCTTTTCATTCTGAGCATGCCAAATTTTAAGTGAAGATTTTACGTTACGAAGCTTTGAAGATATTACAAACCCTGCCCAGCCGTARGATACATCTTCTGAGAGCTTGGATTCGATTATTCGAACACAATTCTTATCTTCTAGCCAGGAATTAAAGAACCTGAAGGGAGAGGGGCCCCAATGAAAATCCCCAGCATYAAGAACAATAGGAAAATGGTCCGACGTTATTCGTTCCACTCTATTTACACTAGAATTGCTGAAGAGAGTGTCCCAATCTTGYGAAACAAAGAACCTGTCCAGTAATGAATGAGTACTATCGTTGCCCATTTTCGACCAAGTGTACTAGCCATTAGAAAGTGGAATTTCCATCAATTCTAATTCTTCAATTATACTATTAAATCTCTTCATTCCTTTTGTTATTCTACCTCCTGAAGACCTGTCTGATACCCACCTTGTGATGTTAAAATCTCCTCCCATACACCAGTATTTGTCTCTAAAGCCGGATATATTTCGTAATTCTGACCACAGATGCTTCCGACTTTTGTAATCAGTTGGACCATAGATGTTAGTTATAACAATTTCCTTTAAATTAAAGAATGAGATGGAGATTGACACTGAATGGCTGCCCTCTAATACTTCCCKAATCTGAATTTTAGTCTCATCCCAGAGGGTAAGAATCCCCCCCGATCGACCTTCTGAACCTTCTGCTTCAATGCTGGCCCACGCTACATCTTTAGAGCTCCATAACGATTTAATTGTCTCTTTGTCAATCTGTTGTAACTTTGTCTCCTGAAGCATTACAACATCCGGATTGAGTTTCAATATCATCTTCTTAACTTTCAGCCTTTTTTTATAATCACGAAGGCCTCGGACATTCCAGGAAAGTATCTTCATCAATCTTTCCTAACAGGTGAGAGAGCAATTCCAACCGAGTCAAAGAAGGAAGGAATCTGAATTTCACCCTCAATATTCGGAGGGTCC